ACTGCTACTGCTACTGCTTACTGCTAACTGCTAACTGCTAACTGCTAACTGCTAACTGCTAACTGCTACTACTACTGCTCCTCCTGCTGCGGCTGCTGCTGCCGCTGCTGTTGCTGCTGCTACTGCTGCTAGTGCTGCTGCTGCTGCTGCTACGCCTGCTTCTACGGCACTTCCACTACCACTACCACAACCACGACGACGACGACCACGACCACCACTACCACTACTACCACCACGACGACGAATACTACCACTACTACAAAAGTACTAGTACTTGCTGGTAATACTGTGCCCACTACTGCTACTGTTACGGCTAGAGCGCTACAACAACACTAGCTACAACAGCAACAGCAACAACAACAACAACAACTACTACTACTACTATTATTATTGCTACTACGACTGCGACTGCGACTACGACTGCTGCTGTACTACTGCTGGTGATGCCGCCGCCGCCACCGCCGCCGCCGCCACCACCACCACCGCCGCCACCACCACCACCACCACCACCACCACCCCCACAGCGGGGGCGGCGACGACGACGACGAATTGCACCGCGACTGCTACACTTTTATAAGTACCCAGAGCAACAATTACTAGTACAATTACTTGTACTAATCACGTATGATAGTAAGTACACTATATCCCTACCATTACCAGTAGTACTAGTATTATCAATGCGAAAACGAGTACGGATGCAAATGTTGATGCCAATGCTAATGCAAAAACCCACTTAGCACCAGTGCTGCGAATGCTAATTCAGTCCAATGCTAAGCCTACTAATACGAATATCAGCATGAGAACTAGCTAGTACTCATAATTACTATCACGAACATAGAGACGAAAACGGGCACTAGCACGAATACAAAGACTAATGCTAATACCAATACTCATACTGGTTCTATTGCTTAACCCTAGCAGTATCACTAATGCTGATGCTATTTCTCTTACTATCCGACTACTAATATTAAGTGTACCATGACAACAGACTGAGAACCTCCATTCTATGTGAGGCTGGCTCTTCCCTGAAGTGCAGAACGAGCCCTTTTATCTTGTCTGGTTGGACCCTAGGCTCCACCAATGTTCGAAGTTTTTTCTGTGGGAGGGGGGAGGGCTGGTAGATGAGGAGGTTGGCTATGGATCGTTTGGGTTGCACATAAACATTTCTAGATGCGTGAAAGAAATTGGTTCACGACAGCAAGACCCAGGACAGTATTGGGTCGACCAGAAACATCAACTTCGACGCATGGGCCGCCACACTCCCTGATCTTGGCGTGATGTTGATCGTCTCGACAATGGACTGCATTCTGAAACTCCATGCTACTGAGAGCAAGCTCCCATTGAAGGTTTCCACAGATGACGAGGCGCTGACCTTCGGCCTCTTCAACTACCTTCTCGCATGCTGTGGTGCAGCAACAGGCTACATGCAGCTGAAATTTAACGTCATTAGCTACGGTGTCATGCGCAACGCGCACGACCGTCGAGCCGGGATGATCTTTGCCATGCTCTGCGGTGCGGCGTACTTCAGTACGGTGGAGCACTTCAACTACTTGCCTAAGCTCTTCCTCAGTGCTCTGCTCTTCTTTGCAGGCGCAGGGTTCGTCACTGACAACATGTGGGGATCCCGGAAGTTCTTGCACTTTAGTGAGTGGATGGAGATCGTGGTGATCCTGATCGTCTTCATCGCCGTGGGTCAGAGCATGATTTGGGCCGTTGTGACTGGTTTGGTTCTTTCTGCCATCGCCTTCATCGCAAAGTATGCTCGTGTGCCTTCCATGGATGGCTTGCCGAAGCGGGGCGATCAGGTAGTCACCCGCGAGCGGCCGGTTGGGGAGGTTGGCCATCAGAGCTTCATGCACATCGCCTCGGCTTGGATCCTGATCGTGAGCTTGAAGGGCTACGTCTTCTTCAGCTCCTGCGTTCAAGTGATGCGTTCCGTGGAGGAGCATTTTCAGAAGGAGGATGACAAGAAGGTGCCAGGGTACCGAAGGCTCAAGTTCCTTGTCTTCGACGGCTCTGCGCTTGACGGGATGGATGCCTCAGGCTGAACATTCTTGCTTCTGTGGGTCTAAGAGTAATATAATACAATAAAATATAACATAATATAATAAAATATAATATAATATATAATATAATATAATGTAATATAATTTAATATGGGGCTTATATATATATATATATTTATATTTATATTTATATAAACCTCTGGGTCCTAAGCCTGAAACCGGGCTTCCAGCAGGTGCCATGTGCATGGCCAAGCTCTCCCGGAGGGCCAAGCAGCGCGGCATGCGCGTGATCTGGTGCAGCTCGGCCGCTTCTTGAACTCCAAAAGCCCCGTGTTACCCAGCGCCATTTAGGTATGCATCCCCAAACCCTAAACCCTAAACCCCTAAACCCCTAAACCCCTAAACCCTAAACCCTAAACCCAGAAGGTGCGACAGTTGTAAAGCCAAGGCCCAGGCCCCAAATTTTGACGAGGAAATGGGCAACTCTGCCCGCAGGCAGAGGCCTACAGAAGCTTTCAACAAACCCCCTACAGAAGCCTTTGCGGATACTTAAACCCTAAGCACTGAAACTATTGCCCGGCAACATCCAGGGTCCTGAGCACGAAGCTTCATGAAACCCTACAAAGCATCCGTACCCCAACTACCCAGCAGCCAAAAGCAGAACCCACACCAGGGCCCTCTGCAGAGAGCCCCGTCAAAGGGCCACCTAGAAGAAAGGTCTCATCCCGAGCCCTTTCGACCCGAAGCCCTTTAGATAAAAGGCCCTATGCAGCCTTAATCCCTAAACTCTAAACCCTAAACCTGAGGCATAAAACTCAGAAAACAACCCCTTTTGGGAGAAGCCTCTGCTCTGTCAGCCCGAAGCCTCACTCCCGTAAGCCCATGCAAGCCGTACCAACCCTGACCCAAACTTGGTTACATAGCTCCATTAATATCCTACCAAAAACCCTACATCTAGACCCTAAGCCCTGAACCCTAAACCCTAAACCCTGAAAAACCCTGAACCC